GGTTGAGTAATTCTTACATGTTAGGAGACTACAGTCTTTCATCTTCAATTCTAGTTTAGTTTTCTTTATGACAATAATTATTTTCTGACAAGAAATGTCTCAAATACTTGAAATGTGACCTCCGCATTTTCACTATCCGTTTCTACCATTCTTCAGAACATTGGTCTTTATACTAATTTTAATTCCAAAAGTTTTCACCACTTTATTTATTTTATTAATATCTGTACATCTTTTGTTGTGCAATTACGTCTGCAAATCTGACTAGCTTCATCTTCTGACCCCCTATTTTGATACATTTCTGTCCTTTGAGCAATGGTGAAGGCCTCTACCTACCCTGAACTCAGTTACACAACATGCAATTTCACTGAATACTGTCGATTGTAGCAGTCACTTCTCAGCTTAAAGCTGCAAACATCCTTTTAACTCTCCGTCAGCCCAATCGCCACTTTTTAAACCACTTTTGCTAGTTTAACAAATTCTGGTGCTACTGGTGGCCCACTGTACCTATGGATGACTAATTTTGAATTGCTAAATTCTGCTTAAAGCCTGTCCCACCTAGCACAGTGATAGCTCAACCAGTGTTCTGATCAGCAAAAGGATCATCTCAGTAAACCCCGTGGAGAGGGACCACTGACTGCTTTCCTGTATTTTCATCTGTCCATAATACCCATGTTATTTTTCTGTCTATGTCTGTGTGCAGAACTTGAGTGTTCTTATAAAGGGTCACTGGACTCACAACTTTAACTCTGTTTCTCTCTTTACAGATGTTGCCTGACCTGCTGAGCTTCTGCAGCATTTTCTGCTTTTATTTATAAAATTGTTTTCTATCCCCCCCACAAAGAAGTGTCAAATTAGAAATGTTATTAACTTCATCAGGAGGTTTATGTTCTAAAAGGAATTCATTAAAATCCAATTGCTCAACAAATTTCATACGCAACCTCATTTGTCAGCAAAAGATTAAATTGGAAACTGCCCATGCAGATGAACGACAGGTTTCTGCAATAACTGATTATTTTTCAGAACAGTGGGTTAGAAGCAAAACTCAATGTCTCAGTACACTTAAAAATACATCCCACCTAAGGGAAAATTTTACAGTTTCACCCTGTTCCAAAAGCAAACGAACTCCAGAGTATCCCACAGTATTTATTTTTTCCTTGGCATGGTTCCAAGATCCCAGGAGTTTAAGATTAGCCAATCATCTCTTTAACCTGTGGCCCCGTTGCCAGTAATTCATACAGCTTATTATTAAATGCATCAATTTAAAGGGGTGATGGCATAAGAAACTGACTTACATTAACCCACACCCACAGCTCCTGGGATCTCTTCATTAGACACTATTACTTGAGACAAAAAAAGAGCGTCCTTACATTTACAAATACACAAAATCTCTTTGACAAGTTACGAACTTGAGACAATTATAGTGTTCATCGAGATCCCCAAACCAAATATGAAACACAGTAGTTTAGAAGATGAATTTGAGACAGCATACTTGTTCCAAATTGAATGATTCTGTAAGCACAAGATCAATTTGACAGATGCTTTAAAAATATTTTTTCCTGCTTTTCTAAAAAATGTGCTTTAAAAATCATTGGTTTGTATTAGATAAATGTGTCTCTAATCTAGGTTTATAATTAATCCCATAAAGGATCCTAAATTCTGCAGATTAGCGCTGAAGTTATTTAATCTTCATCACTTGAGTATCAATATGATTATTACGGTACTTTACAGATACACTTTTACTTGAAAGACTCAGTTACATATTTTGTATTCAGATTTGATCAAAAGTGCTGACTGGAGTACTCCATGGATCCAAGACGGACAACTTTAACTTGGATTCAGAATTTTAGAAAAATTGACCAAGGTGAAAATGATACCAAATTGGGAGGGGCATTGGAACCTGGAACAGTCCAAATTACAAAATGAACTGCACGAAGATGCAAATAGGTAAAAACATAAAATTTAATTTGAGGAAATAAAATCCTGCAAACCGAAGAAAGTTAGTGCTAAAAATACTCTAAGTAATGTTTAAATAACTAATGAAAAAGTTTATGAGAATAATGAATAAGACTTAACTGGATGCTGCTAGGTGACTTGCGATCACAAATTTGAGAAACTGAAATGTTTTCACTCTCGAAAATTACCTTTCGGTACCTTTCCATTGTTGTTTTATGAAAACTTAATTTATGTACTACATGCTAAGCAAATCAGTAATGACTTATTCCATAACAGCAGAGTCACTTTCAAATTATTTCATGTAAAGTATGGTATAGCATGTATCCTCTCCAATATTTACAACAACCTAGAGACTTTCTTCTTGTGGCATGTACACCATACATTTATCCATCTTCTGAAATAATTTTCTCATGGGTAGCTTACCCTATATTTCTTTGGATTTGTAACATCTAAATCAAACAGAGGAATTTTAAAGGGTGGTAGCCTTATGTCCTGTTTTCAGCAAAGGTAACAGACAGCACCACACAAATTATAGGAAATAGAATGGAATAATTATTAATACAAGTCACATTGCGTGATTTCCTCTTTCCATATGCACGCAAGTCCTGAGGGGAAGAAGAAACTGGGTTAATAATTTCTGTTGTTAATACTGAAAGGAGTATCTGAAATTGAAACGGAATGTGTTGAAGTGACTGTATTAATGTGCACAACAAATCTGGTACATAAAACATCCCAAGCATTAAACTGTCTCAAAACCCTGAAAGATAGTAAGAACTGCAGATGCTGGAGTCATAAATAACGTAATGTGGAGCTGGAGGAACTCAGCAGGCCAGGCAGCATCAGAGGAGCAGGAAAGTTGATGTTTCGGGTCGGGACCCTTCTCCCGACCCAAAACGTCAACTTTCCGCTTCTCTGATGCTGCTTCGCCTGCTGAGTTCCTCCAGCTCTGCACTGTGTTATCTCTAAACCCTGAAATATTTCTCACAGGAGCGCAACAACAAGAGTTCTGTACCTTCAAAGTAGTTACAACTGAAAACAAACAACAAGTTGCTCCTGATTCACCTGCGATGAGCAGTCATTGAGCTGAAACATTAACTGTTTCTATCCACACAAGCTTCTTGAAGATAAGATGCATAAGAAATAGGAACTGGAGAAAGCTATTTGACCCTCCAACCAGCTGCCATTTGAAAGGATCATGGCTGTTCCAACATTTCTCACATCCATATTCCTGCCCTCTTCCCATAACCCTTGATTCCCCTACTTAGCAAGAAGAATCTATTATTTTGAACTCTAATATACAAAAGGACTGTGCCCCCTCCCCCCAGCTCTTACAGACAAGGAGTTCCAAAGACTCTCAACCCTCAGAAGAAATTCCTCTTTATCTCAACTTAAATTGGCACTTCTTTATTCCAAGACTGAGCACTCTACTCCCATAGTCTCCCATGAAGAGAAACATCCCTTCAACATTTACTGTCAAGCCCCTTAAGAATCCTATGCGTTTCAATGAAATCGCCTTTCACTCTTCTAAACTCCAATGAGTAGAGATTGACCTGCTGAGTATGTCCAGCACCTTCTGTTACCAAATTCAATTATTCAGATTGATGTACCAACAGTCATCGATTTCACAAACTCAATCCTCTATCAATTTATTTGCAAATTAGAGCCATGCACTTTCTGTAAAAATCTCACATTTAGTAAAAAAGATATTTAAGCCATCAAAAGTCATAGTCTGTAATTTAATCCATTTCTCATGAAAACTGGAAACCATGATGATCACTCTAACAGTTTTGTTCTTATTACTTCACCAAACTAACTTTTAAAGCTATGCCAGCTGAACAAGTGACATATCCAACATTCGAAAGCAGTTGGTCTACAATTTTCAAATTCACCAGATAGACCATTTTTGTAACTAGTTTGGTGAATATTTTGTAATTTGAGAAATCTGTAGTTTTGTCTATTTTACCCGATTTCAGATATTCAGTCATTCAAATCAATAATGGTATATTAAAACACTATTACAAGACAATCATCCTAACATTCTGATTCACTGAGCTAATTCAGTCAAATGTAGCACAGCCATATTAATAGAAGGTTTCATATTCAATCCTGAGGCCATGTAAAGCAATCTATCCAAACTTTGGTGCTATAATTGGCCTCAATGTCCCTGAACTGAAAGACACAGAATAAATTGTAAAGTTTTTCTGTTCACTTTCTAGAGATTCATGTTGAAATTACACACACAAAACTTGGGCTGACAGTGATGCCATCTGCAGTCTGAAAGGTTCATTAGTACCAGTATCAAGTGGGCTCACTGGTACCCATAGTCCACAGGGATGTAATAAAGGAAGTAAAGTTAACAGACAAGTAAACCATATAAGAAATGCTTTCTTCACCATTTGCATATTTGTGGCGAAACCACCAAACCAGGTAAACAGAGCAAAGTCTTAGAATTTTAAACTTGCACTAACTATTCCAATACTGCATCAAGTCAAATGATTTGATTTTTTATATGCTGCAGATGTATTATTAATTAAAAACAGGAAAATATTTCATTCAAAGCATCTAGTAAGTCTGATATGATGACTGGAGGGTCAAAACCAAACAAACATCAATACAAGAATTAGCACACTGCAAATGATCATTTGCCCCTTACCAAAAAACATAACTGGGTCTTATTCATATTCAGCAATTCCTGTAGTATGCCACACGATACTGTCCATGCAGTTACACATAAAATAATATACAATAATCCACTTAGGTCTTTCCCTTCAGTTTTCAATAATGAGTTTCCAATAATTCAAAAAGGCATCTAATCTTTCCAAAAATTATTCATGAGGTTTAACCATATAAATTCATGTTTAGCGTAACGATCCTGTAGACATTTATAATCAGTGTGCACTCATTCCAAGGAATGTCAAAATTAGATCAGACGCATATAACAGTGTTGCAATCAGGCCACGTTCTCAACATCACATTGCACATTGAATGCAATATACCGATCCTTTGTTGTAGTAAACAATGCAAATAAGTGTGAACCCTCGTATTACCTCATCTGCACGCGGCTGATGTAGTTCTGGTGGTTTTGAACTTAACTCCTGGCGGTTGGAACTGAATCAATCTCGCCGGGTATTAAGGATGAAGCTTGTGTGATAGTAGAATTACAGTGAGCCACAGGTTTTCCCCCCGAGATCGACAATACTTGCATCGAGTCCACTAGACCTCCCGTGCAGATAAATAAAGAGACAAATCCAGCTAGATGAAAGTCTGTACAGGAAAAGCGCTAGCTCCCTTCATACTACAGTCCGTATATCGCCATCCCAGATTTGGGGCTGCTTCAGTCAGCAACGATCCCAGAATTTTACCACTGAAGGTGGAGAGGGGGGCTTGAGGGTCAGACAGTACAGGGAGAGATGGGGGGCGCTGGCCAATCATGAGACCGCACAGAGCACAAATGAAATTACCCCTATTAGCAAAGCGGCGGCCACCGCTCCCACGAAGGCGGGAAACACTCCTTGGTCAGATATAAATGTCCCGACAAACACAAGCAGCAACTGCAGAAATTAGACATGCTCTAACGGTACCGAGGTTGAACGCTGACCATTCGGGGGGGGAAAATGGCCGACATAAACCGTTTGGTGGCGAACCCACTCCGGAAACGGAAAATGGCCGCCACAACCGCCCGCGCGCTCGCCGCCGGCTATAAACGTCACGCACGGATCTGACCAATCCGCAGGTAGTAGTGTTAGTCTCACGTGACGTTGAAAGCCTGCCGGTGGGTATTGAGGTGGCTCGCGCAGTGCGGTCTTAGAATTAAGCCCCGATAACGGTTTTTTTTAAAAAATATATCCTTCGTCCTCGTGTTCTTTGTCCCATTTTTAGTAGTAGATGTTGGCTTAAGGTTTCTCGCTCCATTTACATGGTGATTGCAATCGACTTCCCTTCACCCGCTCCGCAAAAATAACCCAAATTATGCGGTTTGGATAGTGCAGGGGGGTGGGGGAGTGAGAGGTCCCCGCCGTCTCCACATTGGTATTTATTTCTTCTTGGTTACTGTCGCCTTGCACAACAATGGCAGGGGACTGCAAGCGTTGGGCAAAGCTGAAATAAAACTACTAGAAGCGTTCAGCGTCTGCGATATTGGCATCATTAGGGCGAATACGTTTTATTCCATTGAAGGGTTTCAGCGGGGGTGGGGTGGAATTCAGTGCAAGTGAGGGCAGGATAACTTCAGGTGGCAATTAGCAGTCATTTATTTAAGCTGCTTCTGTTTGTTCCAACAACTGGGTACATGTGACAGGAGCTGTTTTCCTGGTGCACAGAAAAGAAAGGGCAGCGCTGGAAAATATTTGTGAATGTAGCTCAATGTTAGGTTGCACCTGTCACTCAGTAGTTCTACAGACCCCAACATAGATTACATTTGTAGAATTTAACGCAGCAAAACGGGCCTTCAGTCCAAGAGGGCAATGCCGGCGCGTTTATCTTCTGCAGGACCTTTCTGTCATCTAGCAACCTAATTCTTCGATTTCTCATTCAAAAGTAACATTTCGGATATTGGAAATCTGAAGTAGAAACAAAAGAAATTGCTGAAATGTGCAGCATCTGCAAAAAAATTGAGCCCATTCATGCAGAAGAAGCTAGATGTAACAGTTCATGAGTAAATACAGAAAATAGGGAACAAAGGGGGTTGTTTAAAAAGGAATGATGATGGAAAAGAAAACGAAGAATAATAGCATAGCAAATAAGGGAAATTTTGTTTTAAATGCTTACCAACACCTTTTTTGAAAAATATGTACCTTTGAATGCAAGCATTATTTTGCTGAGCCAATCCATGTAAAAGTTTGTTTGATACGTATGATTCTGGCACAGCTCCAAAGTTTGTGTTGCTGTTCCTTAATTAGCAGCAGGAGCTGTGGGAAAGAAGTGAGGTCACACAAAATACGACCAGAAATAGCTGCAGAAAATCTGTGAAAAATTCTCCTCAATGTGAGAGGTGGCTTGAAATAAGTGGTGCATGTCAAAAGCAGTGTAATGACTAAAAAGGCAAACAGTCTAAACCAGTCCAGATTGTAATTTGTTAATACAGGGAGTCACTCATTATAGAAATATATCTGGACAAAGTGTTTTGCCTTCCAAAGTTTGTCGTGTGTTTGGACATGAGAAAAACTGCCCGTTCTCTCACCCACACTAAAATAGTAGCAAGCGTACCTGGTTCAGAAGGTTATAGGTTCAAACTGCATGCTAGCAACTGCATATGGAGGGAGTTTTGCATTGTTGTGGGTGCTGTCTTTTGAATGAGCTATTTGACAAATGCACCATCTTCCCTCAGATTGATATAAAAATTAGTGTCATCCTTGAGGAGAAGAGGAGCAGGGGAATTTCCCCTGATGTCCTAACAAACATTTATGATATTTATTGAGGAATTAAAGAAAAACTATGCAGTTGTTACCATGTTGTGCTTTGTGGGGAAATTGCTGTGTGCAAATTGTTCTTCCTGTTACAATAACTGAACTTTACCCTTATGAAGGACATCTAATATAATGAAATTTGCTATATACATCATCAACTAGTACCATCTATCTGAAGACAATAGGATGTTATTGATCTTTTGTATGAAAGACGGGTACCTTCAGCAATGTAGCACTCTGTGTATTACACTGAAGTACTAGCTAGATCATGTGCTCAAGTTGCTGGACCTTTAACCAGAATGTTCTGACTCAAATGCAAGAGTGCTTCAGCAGAAACACGACTGACACCAGGTTATCTCAGAGCTGCTGATGGACACCTGTGTATAGAATTTGCCAATGTCATAACTGTTGTTTCACTTTTGTTTTCATTGAGGTAGAATGTAGTGCCTTTCATGCCCCAGGACATAAGTGCAAGCTCTTAGATGGTGATCTTAGCCACATAGGAAGAATAGTGAGAAATAAGAGGTGGGTTGGTTAAAATGTGGCATTTTTTGTAATGCTTGTAATCCAAAGTCGAGCAATGGTACATTTTCAAGGACAAGTCTTGTGCATGTGAATTTTTGTTTTGCACATTGGCGTTTTCAAGCATTTTGATGCAACACATGGTAAAACAAATTAATGAGCACATTTGAACACTTTTTTTTCAACCAAGTTCATTTTATCTGCTATCTCAAATAGAATCCAACTTGACAGTTACTTGATTCAGATTTTTTTGGCATGCATCAATGTTATTCTGAAGTGATTATTTTGCCTCTCATCTTGAAGTGTTTACAGGGAAGTGTAGAGCGAATTTAGCAGAAAGAAATAATAGTGACTAGCATAATGAGTAGGACATTGCAAATAGTGAGTTGAATAATTTGGGCTCCTACATCTGTCCTTGCTTTCTACATGTTGCTGTTGTTTGTTTTTCTTATTCAATTAAATATTTCTTTGTCCTCTTCTGCTGCTGTTGTCTTGAGTGGGTGATGGTGGATGGCATAGTTCGGCAAGAGAAAAAGATAAAGCAGCTGAAGGCACCATTTAAAGCAACTGGTACCTGCACCTCACCTCTTCCTACTGCTCCGTCACTAACTACACTCGTTCTTTGAACTACCCACCTGTAGCCTTCAAAACTGTGCTTCAATCTTTTATGGTCCACTTAATTGCAGATATGAGCATAGATGCCTCCTCACATTCAATCTCGTTCCTTCTACCATTGTTGTTTTAATTTTGTATGGAAAAACTTTGCGTAACATAACTTTCAAATTGTAAGAAATTTTTCTTACATGTGAGAAGGCTTTTTGCCTATTTTCCCACATGAGCAATTAGTATGAGTTTTCTATCTCATCATAATATGATAATTATATGTAATATTTCACTGCAAAATTAAAAATATTTAGTATGAAGGTAATGGCTCTCCCTCTTCCTGCCTCGTCTCTCAAGATGTGTCTCAGCTTAATGTCCTTTAATGAAAGTTATACAAGAGGTGTAGAATCATTACCTTAATTTGTTTTTCTTTCCACGTGCACACAAAGGTACCTGTTTCAAAATTTAAATAGATATGCTATCTGAGTAAAATCTTTCAAGTGAATATTGCAAACAGTTTTGAAACCCAAGCAAAAATTGCTAAAAACTAAAGAAAAGTAATAAAAATTGATTAAACAATATTGACGTATCTTGGGAAAGGAGGATGTTGACTATACCCATCAAATCTTGATACAGAAATGCCTTCAAGAAGAAACTGTTCTATAAGGCTGCCACTATTTTTGATTTTTGGAGATGGGTTCTGCTGCAAAACCTAGTTTCTCTTGTACTGAAACATTGCCCAAATGAATAGAGGCAAACAAGTAACTATTCCCCAGGATTTGCCAGTGTGGCTCTACGCAGATAATATATGGACTGCATTTTTCATACTACATTTTAAGTACAATACTTTTCACTTAATATAGCAGATATGGCAAACTGGATACTATATGAATTCTAGCCTTACTGTCAAATATAAAATCTTTGAGCTAATGCAGTAATCTATTTTATATCTGTGAACATCTAGTAAGAATGAACAGAAGCTACTTAAAAATCTTTGTTGCCTTGTAATAATTATAGTAGGTGTTTTGATATTTCTACCTAAGGGTTAGTTTGGGAGTAAAAGTGAAACTTCTGTTGAATTTTCTTCCTGAAGAATGGATCTCATTCATCTTTTAAATTATTAGTTATTTGAAGGAAAATCAGACTTAATGATCTTGATGTTTTACACAATTCTGTACTCCAGTCCTCTGGCTCAGAAATGGGAGAATGTTACAGTCCTGATCCAAAACCCAAACGAATTATACGACCAGTATTAGTCTGGTTAATCCAGTGAATTTGTAGATGCCGCAGCCCAAACATCTATGTGACATTAGACCTATAAATGTGAATTGTGCAATATATCACTGCCAAACTCGATGTGGTCAATATATTCTTGCGCATTAGCAAACCTAGGATCTGGTTTTAATTCAACCACTATTTTGTTTGTTTTTCATTTTTATATGGGATGTGGACTTTGCTGGCAAGGCCAACATTTGTTACCCATCTCAAATTGCTCATTTCAAAAAGTACATTTAAAATACTGTCAAAACTAAAACTCATTGCTATTGCAAGCAAATCAATCTTGGGCTGCTTTCTCTCATACTCCTTTCTCATTCCTTCTAATTTTTTTTAGTCATCCTTTGCTTTGAAAGCTTTCTGGAAATCTTAAACAGGAAGAGTTTCTATAGCTATCTTAAAGAAAAGATCAAAGCAAGTGTTGATCCTTTTAGAAATTGAGTTTGGGAATTAATAATGAAAAATAGAGATGGCATATGAAGTGTAAAGGTGGTTTCCTTTGATCTTCACAATAGAGATCACAAGTAACTTTCCAGAGGTATATTTAAGTCTGGGAATGGAAGACAGGGAGAACCTGGAGAAAATTGCAAGAACCAGGGAAATGGTAAAGAAAATCTGTTGGGATATGGCTGACAAGTCCCTAGGCCTGATGAACCTCAACCTATCATCTTAAAAGAAGTGGTTAGTGAGATTGTTGAAGAATTGCTTTTAATTTTTCAGAACTGTCTAAATTTAGACAACGTTATATTAGATTGGAAGTTGGTGATTGTAACTCCTTTTAAAAAGGAAAGGTTACAGAGTTCAGCAAACTAGAGGCCAGTTAGCTTAATCTCTGTCATACAGAAGATATTACATGCAATTTTTCAAGAAGTTATAGCAGGCCACTTAAAGTTCAAGTTAATCAGTTAGAATCAGTATGGTTTTGTGAAAGTGAAACCATGTTTAACAAACTTATGGGGTC